TATACATATATATATATATATACCCCACATCGTGTATGGCGCGTGTGCGCGAGTGTTAGTGTGATAGAATAGCTTGTGTGTGTATATAAAGTCACCGAAGCGGCAGAACGTTAAGCCAAAATGTATCAAGTCCATGCCCGCTACCGGATGGAGTGACTGACTTCCAGCGTTCAGCAGTGAAACACCTTCCCAGCTACCAACATTTAAACGAGTGCAATCTAATTTTTTTTATTGGACTACGCCTATTTTTAGAACAATTTCTCGGTCTTCAGGTACGACTTCGCGTCCGCGCGCATTTGGTCTCTATCGTCACGTCGTTGCTGTGGGCAAAAAAACGTGGCAATGAAAAATAGAACGATTTAGGATTAGAAAACACGGAAACTTAGACTAAACATTGCCATTTGAAATATATTGAATCCGGTGTAATTTTAAATCAAATCGCTGACAATACGGTGGATGATATTAACGTATACTTATATATATATATATATATATATATATCAATGACTATCTGGGTTAATAACATCGAAAAATTCGTATATAAAATGAGACATACCTCCCGGAACTCCTTGATCTTATCCGGCATGGCCTTCATGTTCTCCTCGATCTTCTTCAACCTGAGGTGTCAAAGTATACGGAAATTGAGAACACGCACAATCACACACACTCCCACTCTCTGTGGAGTGTTCGTGCACGCCTTACATACGCGGCTTACTGCAAGCGTGCAGCTGATATAGATGGTCAGATTCAAGAACATCGACATCCGCCAATACATGCATCTATTTGTGGACGAAGGAACTGTAAGAACATATACGTCACGCATTTACGTAAAGTCCTTGTCACGTGATAGGCAATCTGGTAAAGGTGGTGATCTGTATGCGTGCAACTGATGTAGAATATACCCCATAAACCTTAAAACCTTAAACTGTAAAAGACCGACCTCTGCCAATATGTACATCTATATCTGGAATTAGGCGATACGAGTAGGTTTGTATCGTCATGCATGTCTACAAAATCTTAATCACACCTCAAACCACATCTACGGATAAAGGAGGTAGTGGTAATGCGTGTTAACGCCTCGGCTAAACACATATGCACGTTCCCATGGAAAGGTATCACACTGCATACAACGTATTTACGGAGGAAGCTACTTACCGCTACCAAATGCAAAAAAAAACCCCGTTTGTTGTTGATAAGGCTATGCACAATAACAAGGTTATGTTCACATATTGCATCCTTACGGTGCTGCTACTACTACCATGTGCACGGGCCAGGCCATTGATACACGCCCGTCCCTTGTAATCAACTCTCGATGGCAATTGCTATTAGACACAGAACAGCAAATTTGACAACACTTTTATATACATATACAAAAATAGTGCCACACATCACACACAGCCTTATGATCTTCTCTCGCCCGTGCTTTATGATAACAAAACAGCACATTTATCAACACAATTATATACATACACAAAGATAGTGCCGCACATATCACCTTATGATAACAACAAAACAGCAAATTTATCAACACAATTATATACATACACAAAAGATAGTGCCACACATATCACCTTATGATAACGACAAAACAGCAAATTTATCAAAACAATTATATACATACACAAAAGAAAGTGCCACACATATCACCTTATGATAACAACAAAACAGCAAATTTATCGACAGAATTATATACATACACAAAAGATAGTGCCGCACATATCACCCTATGATCGCCTCTCGCCTGTATCTCTGACACGGGCATAAACAGCGCATTGGTCAATACAACTATGCAGATACACACAGTCACGGTCACATGCTTACCTTATAACCTTCTCGCGTTCATATCTGTGACCCTTGTCTGGCCGCTCCGGCAATTGCTTGCGCGGAGCTTTAGGTAGCGGAAACTCCACCCCCTTCGCTTGCGCCTCTTTTCGAAGCCCAGCAAGCCGTTGTGGACTAATTCTGGGCTATAATAACACCATAGATAGTTAGGGTAGTAATTGTACAAGTGAGTACTCATTGATCATAAACAATACAGAATATATCATATCATTCGGTATAATCGAATATTTATGAGAAGACAACCAGATATATATTAATGCAAGTATGTATATGTTGACACACACACATGTACATACAAACGTATATATCTACGAAACGTCATACATACGTACATGCACAGATAGAAATATGCATACATATATACATACACAAATATATACAAACTTCAATACATATTCATACACATAAATAAACACACAAACATACATATATACATACATACTATATACACATATACAGGTGTGCGTAAAATAAATTACAC